CCTCAGCGTGGGCAGGGGCATCCTGGTCTTGGTCAGGTTTGTCTGAAACTCCTGGGACACTGGCAGGATTTTACCTCCCTCGAGTCACTGGAAGAGGGAGATGTGATGTGGCTCTGTCCTCTTGCTTACCACCTCCCAAAACATGCCTGTGATGGCATTGTGGATCCAGCCCAAGTGTTAGAAAAGCTGTGGCTGGCTCATATCATGTTTGATTAATTATTAAAGGAGGCTTTCCCAGATCCTGTCATGTTGACACATGGAACAGTGTAGGTTCAGGAGAGGCTGGCCCAAGGCAGCTCCCCTGCTTCCTGGGTGTCTTGTGACACCACTGCAGAGCTGTGGCGTGCAGCAGGACCAGGAACAGAAAACAGCAGGGATTGCACAACTCACTCATTTGAGTCTGTTATCACAACTGACACTTCTTCTGAACCGAGTGGCTTTGCCTTAAGGAAACCCATGCTGGAATTCCCCAGATGTTGGACTTAGCTGGATTGCTTAGCCTTGGAGATAAGGAATGGAACTTGAGTTATTTTGAAGGTGTTTTAGAGTGTTGGAACAGACTTCAGAAGGCTGTTTCCCTTGGTGCTAGGCCTATCGCAACTAGGAAACAATCTAGGATGACACCAGGGTGACAAAAAGCTATGCAAGATGGATCAGAAGGATTCTTCCAACTCTGCTTTCTCCCCAAGGTTGGATCCATGCTGTGTACACTCCCATGGACACACTGGTTTTTGGTGGCAACTTCTTACACAGCTTCAACATCCCTATGCAGCTCCGGATCTACGGCATCGAGGACCGCACACGGGTAAGGACCTGTGGGAGACCTGTGCTGGACACTGGGCCACACCTGCTGTGGCATCTGTCATCTGACAGCAGCAGTGGAAAGGAGGTCTGACAGAGCCTCTTGCCTGTTTTGCAGGTCCCAAATAAATTTCGTTATCCCTTCTATTACGAGATGTGTTGGTACGTGCTGGAGCGTTACGTGTACTGCATCACCAGCCGCTCCCACCTGACCAAGGACTTCCAGAAAGAATCCCTCAGCATGGGTAAGTCCAACCCCTGTTCCTTCCTTACCCTTATCCAACTGGCTTCTTACACCCTCCTGCTGGAGCACTGGCTCAGTAGTGTGCCAGGCAGGGGAGGGCTGCGTGGGGATTTTTTTGGGCATGAAGTCACAACCAGCCAGACTTCTGCTTCCTCCTCAGCAACCACCAGTTCAGAGCCTCATACAGAAGAGATGGGGGGAAGTTGCAGTGGCCACCACGGTGCTGTAGGCAGGAATTATCTCTGGCTGGCCAGGGCCTTCTGCACACAGGGTTTGAGGGTTACTTGGAGGGCTCGACAACCTCACGGTCATGAGTGAGTCCACATCCTCTTCATCGCATCAAGATCCTGAGCCCTCAGCTGGAGATCCCAAGCCCTCCAATGCAAAATGAGGTTGAATAGGGCATTAAGCAACATGATGTAGTGGAAGATGTCCAGGCCCATTCCACTGGAGTTGGGCTAGATGACAGTCCAAGTTCCCTTCCAATCCAATTCCATGAAATTAAGTCTAGGACAGGAAATTCAGTCTAGGGCATTTGCTATTTCTTCCTCTGGGACCTTTTTCCATATCTGGTGCCCTGCATTCACACAGACAAGCCAGGAATGGGAAGGATGTTTAGCTGTTCTTTTCCAGCTTCTCTGTTCCTTTCACCTCCTTCCTACAAATCTGTTGCTCCAGCATCCCTCATGACTGGGGGGATCCCGCTAAACACAGAACACCTCCTGTGATTGCTCTCCCTGTTTTATCATCATGGCAGATATGGAGCTGAGCTCCTCGGACTCGGTGAACATGGAAGAGGAGGAGGAGGAGGAGGATGATGAGGATGCAGCAGGGAAGGAATCCCGGCGCCCCATGACCAGGAGGTCCATTCTCACCAGCCCCATCGCCAACGGTGCCAACATGGACTATGACGAACTGGGCAAGAGCTGCCGGAGCAGCCTGCCGGGTCTCAAGAAGACCCCATCCATAGACTCTTCCGACTCCAGCCGGGGCTCCCAAAATGGCCAGGCCTGGGACCCGAGTGGGGGCAGTCCCCGCAAGAGCAGGAAGGTGCACCTGACCCAATTTGAGCTGGAGGGGCTGCGCTGCCTCGTGGACAAGCTGGAGTCGCTCCCTCTGCACAAGAAGTGTGTTCCCACCGGCATCGAGGACGAGGACGCCCTCATCGCTGACGTCAAGGTAGGCCTGAGCGAGCGCAAAGCACTTCCCACGCTCGCCCTAACCCTGTCCTGGGGCAGGATTGGTGTCCTCCTCTTCCTGTGTGTGGGGCTGATGTTGCACCTGAGGGACGGCCCTGGGATTTGGGGTTGGGAAAGCAGGAGGGTGGCTGTGCCCTGGTGGGTCCCTTCTGGCCGTCAGTGCAGGAGTGCTCGTGGCTGATGCAGTTCACTTCCATTTTTGGCTGTGGACTCTGTGACAGTTGGAACCTTTTCCTTGCTCCAGGTGGATTTGGCTTTGTTCCTTTGAGTTGTTTGCCCAGGGTGTGACCTGGAGTTATAAGAGTCAGTTATTTTGGGCTGGTGAGGGTTGTTTGGATTTTATTTGCCTTCGTCTGTTGAGCTGACCCAATGAGGTTTAGTGTTTCAGCACTGAAGTGGGAATGTCAGCTTCACCCTATCCCCAGAAACCCATTCTAGTCCCTAAAAAGTTACCTTCTGCTCCCCTCCATGCTGTTGGTGATCTGTACAGCTGCTTGCCTGTACCAAAGCTGACACCCAGACACAGCCACGCATGTGTCCTTGTCTTTGCCATTGTTTTTATTTCCAAGTGCTGTCTCCTGATGGTTTTTTGCAAGATGTTCAGGTAAATCCAGAGCTCTGCTATGCTTTGTGGAGAGGGTGTGGCTCTGGGGTCTTGGTTGAAAGAGTCTAGGTGCTGTTAGAGGCCGAATTTCTGGTTTTCTGTGGCTTTTCAGGCATCCTGTGTGTGCTGTGACCTTTGAGAATATGAAGTGTGTGGTGTTCTGGAGGAACCTGAGCTGTGGGCTGTGTTTCACCCTTGAGCTGATGAAAGGAGGCTGGTGTTGGGTGTTTTGAAGGCAGAGCCTTGAAGGTTGTTGGTGTTCAGTTGTAGTTCGAGACCAAAGATCAAAGAATCTGTTCATGTTCTGGAGGTAGTAAAGATGAGCCTCTGGTTTTGGTGTGACCAGGCCCCTGTGTCCAGCTGTACCTTGCAGATGAGCTGCTGGTGACAGCCTTTGTGGTTCCATACAACTTCCCTGAGGATTTGCTGGCTGTCCTTGGAGGTTTGGAAGTATCCTGAGCTGCAGGATTTCGTCCCTCAGGACTGGCATCCTCAAGGCATCAAGATCCTTAGTCACAGCCTGCAGTGGCTGGGGAATGTGGGACAAGTTTGTCCAACTACAGCAAAGCTCTAGTTTCAAAACCCATTTTCCATAGAGATGAAAATGGAAGTGGAAGAAGTTGGCTTGTAAAGCCTGAGAAGGGCTTAAGACATTTCTAGCTAAAACTTCTAACTGGGACCACCAATCTGCAGCAGGTACTTTGCCCTTATGTCACCAGGTAAGGTCATTGATGGAGCTGGGATCTGGCCAAGCTGGGAAAGATGCACTTTGGTCTGTGCTCCCCGTGGTCAGAACGTGGCATTTTCTCATCCAGACTTGCAGGTGTGCCACCTTGATCAGCCCATCCAGTGCCACCCTCTGCTATCCAGTGTCCCCAGGCACGCCAGGAGCAGGAAAATGCTGCCTTTTCCCACAGCCTCTTGTGTGGTGATCAGGATTTCAGGGTGTCTGTGTGTTGGGTCACGTGGAGAAATATGTATCCTGTCATGAGTTCAGCCTGGAGCGTCACTTGGTGGGATGCGACACTTTGGATGTGACAGTTGTGCTTTCAGCTCTGTGGCAGGAATTGTCTGAAAATTCTGACTGTGATGGAGGTCATTGGAAGGATCATTGACAAAGAGGGAATTTCGGAGAGGTTCTGTTTTTTTACTGCTTCTGTCTAAAATTTCTGACCTCTCTGTGGTGGTTTCCATGACTGGCTTTGACAGGAGGATGGTCATGAGGCAGCTGACAGCAAGTCTAAAGCCAGGCCTCTGTGGCCTGGCATAAACAGGTTATATCTATGTTGTGCTGAGCTGTTGGAGCACCAAGGATTGTAGAAACAAGATAAGCGTCTCCCTGAATTGCTGATCCTGTCTCCAGGACCTCATCTCAAAACCTCTGGTGTGGCATTGGTCACTACCCGACTGGGCAATGAGCAGAGGGAGAATTTGGTGAGGAGTGGGTTTGGACTCCTCAGGGATGGGTGAGGAAGTTCAGGGTGGCCTGTGAGCTGTGCCAGGCAGGTCTCCGATGGTGGGATGGCAGCACTGGTCACGCTCCTGCCTGCGGGTTGGAGAGTGCCCATGCCAGGGGCCCCAGGGTGTCACTGGTTGCACAGTTGGTGACAGTCCCAGAGCCAGGTCAGCTCGTGACTGAGTGGCTTCCTGGAAACACAAAGCTGGAGTTGCCTGCAGATGCTTTGGATGCATCAGAAGTGGGAGCAGCCACTGCTCCCTTGTGCTGTTTGGCTTTATTTCTGGAGTTTCCTCCATTTTAATTGCGTTGTGTATCTGGGGGGCGTCTTGGGGGGCTGGGATTTGCTTGGGGACACCTTGATCGCCCGGAATGGATCTGTCCCCCTCTAGCGGTTTGGTCCCCAGTGCCTCTGGGAATGTGGCTGCTCCCAAACTTGGCTGGCGGGATGTTTCTCCCTCCAGGTCGGGAGAGTGGGTGTGCAGACCCTGGGGGGAGCTGCAAGGGGGACGACCCTTGCCTGCATTCCAAAGCCCCGCTCGCTCCAGCGGGGTCTCCTAGATCCCAAACCCGCCTCGCAACAGACAAAAGAAAGGCGCCGGGGAGGCTGGGCCTGAGCGGGACGGGGTAAGGGCTCTCCGCCACGCTCTGCCCGGCCCCGAGGAGCCCGGCCCCGGCCTCTCGGATTGCGGCGGAGGGAGGGAGGGATCCCGGGGAGGCCGGTGGGCAGCGCCGCCCGGACCCTGCGCCAATCCCCGCCGTCCCGGCCCCTCCCGGCGCTGCAGCAGCGCGGCTCTGCCCTCCGCTTCCTCGCTCCCTTTTTCTCTTCTGCCATCTTCCCGTTGCAAAGCATTGCTGGGAACCGCATGTGGGTGACGCAGCAGCATTGTCTCCGGCTCAGGAAGCTGCTGCCGCCGCCGCTGCCCAAGGGCTCGGGAGGAGCACGCGGCCGCCAGTGCGGCTGCTGGGGGCGGGGAGGAGCCGGGGGCGCTCGGGGCGGGGGGCGCAGCTGCTCCCCAGCCATGTCCCCGAACACCGGGGGTCCGGCCGGGGTCTGAGCCAGCCCCCGGAGGTGTCCGGGAGAAGGGAGGGGGCTCCAGCCCTCGCAGTGCGGGCACCGAAACAAAGAGGGCTCGGCAAACTTCACCCAGAGTCTCGGCAGCTCCAGAAGCGCAAGGTCAGGCAGCTGGCAATGCTCGTGGCGCGGGGAGGGGACGTGGGGACGCTCCGGTCCCAGACAGGGTGGGAGGGGACCGCGGGGGGACCCCTGCTTCCCCGGAGGGCTCCCTGGCCAGTGCTTGGGCTCACCTCTCCCGTTCCCGGGGCACTTTCGCCTGCACTGCTGCCGAGGGGCTCCGGCCGCGTGTGTGCAGGGTCCCCTCTGCCACGTCCCGCCGGCCACAGCGCCACGGGGCACAGGGGACCAGCGGCCTGTCGCCCACCCCGGCTCTGAGACAGATGCAGCCTCAGGACCTGGGAGCCCCCGCGATCCCTCGGCTCCCTGGCGAGGAGCGTGCCTGAGCCGCCCCCGCCCCGTCCCTGGTGCCACGGGCAGGCAGATGCTGCGGTCCCACGATGTCCGTGTGGGAGCTCCGAGCCCTGACCTTTCCCTCGGTGTGTGCTCGTGGGGAGGCGGAAGGTCTGAAGGCGGCACACTGCGCTGCCGGGGAGCCCAGGGGAGACTGCGGCTTCCTGCCTCCCCAGACACCCGGAAAACCGGGCGGGGGGCACGCCAGGCACCCCCTGCCCCGGCCCTGCCTGGCAGCGGGAAGCACCGCCCGCCGGGATGCCGACAGGAGGCTCCTGCCTGTGTAACCATGGCAACATCAAGTAAATAAAGCACCTTTGCAACCAGCAAATTCGGTGGGGAGTGGATGTGGGGAGGGGGCTGCACTGGAGGGTGCTGAAAGGACCGGGGTGAGCACGGGAGCCCCATGCACTGGGAGTGAGGGGCTGTCGTGCTGGAGGGCATCATGCCAGTCCGTGCCAGTCCAGTTGGTGCCGAGGGATCTTTCCCTCCAAGTCAAAGCCAAATCCCGAGGCAGTGCGGGGGAGCACCTCTCAGCTACCGGCAGCTTGTGCCAGGCCACGGAGCGGGTGCTGGGGCATCACATCCTGCTGCTGCACCCTCCAGGCTGCCCCGTGCCTGGGAGCAGCTGGGGGGGAAATGCTGATGAATCGTCCCCCCAAAATCCCCCCAGATTCTGAATCTTGGCACTCCCCACTTCTACCGCCGCCCAGCGCGGGGCCTCGGGGCTGAAATGCAGTTGATGAAAGCGCTGGTGCAGATCGACTCGACAGAGCTTGTCTGTCTCATGTGGGGAGGAGGATGGTTGCTGGCGGGCGTGGGGAGAGGAGGGCTCCTTCCCAGCCGTCTTTGAAGCATGCTGGCCTTGGCATCTGGTCAGAGCCTGCCTCGCTGGCGGGAGCCGTGTTTCCCTCTGCTCACACCTGTGCTTTTTGTCTCTCTGCTGTGTTCCCCCCCACCTCTCTCTCCATAGCTGCTGTTGGAAGAATACGCAAACAGCGACCCCAAACTGGCACTTACAGGCGTCCCCATCGTCCAGTGGCCCAAAAGAGATAAGGTAGGAGCTGCAAGGAGGGGACCCAGATGAGTGTCACGTGTTGAGTCATTTGCCAGGCCTGGGGTGTGGTGGCACCGTTTCCATACCCGCCTTGGGAGCGGTGCCAAAGTGGGATGTGGGGTGCAGCCACCTCCACGGCACTGCGGGCAGTCTCCCACTGTGCTGGTTATCTCAGCTCAGCTGATGGGTGGTAACCAGATCAGCCTTGCCTGCTCCATGTTCTCCAGCCCTTTGGTTGTGCTTGGTGAACAGGGAGCCTTGTTATGGGAGGAAGGGATGATCCTGCTCTCCTAGGAGCTCTCTGGATTGATAGGGAAAATCCTGGATGGCCTGAGGAATGTTGTGTGTCAGGGAAGGTGTTGCTGTGGTAGGGTGAGGTGTGGGGTTGGTGGCCAAGAGCACTCCAGCTCCTTACTGTGAAGTGAACATGTCCCTTGTGTCCATGTCGCTGTTCTAGGATTGGGTCTTGCAATGCCAAGCAAGGCAGCTCTCTCCTGGGAGTCTCTCCCTGTGGATAGCAGTCAGCTCTTCAGCAAAGGGACCTTTCCATGCATCCCTGCCTTTCCCTGTCCAGCTGTGCTCACAGCCCAGGGCCCACAGCTGGGCTGCAGCCCAGGCTGAGCTCACTGGGCAGATGGAGGCACGGAGCAGCCGGACTTCCCCTTTGCAGGCTGCCTTCCTGTGGCCTGCCAGGATGGCTCCCAGAGGTCACTTCTTCCTTCCTGCCAGGAGATGGGCTTACAGGCAGGCTATGGGAAAAGCAGGACCCCATCACCCTGGGAAGGGTGGGTAACACCCCGTTAGGGACTCTGGAGACAAATGAGCCTTTTGGATTGCCCTTTGGAGGTGTCTCTCTCTGCTTCCTGCCCTGCCCAGGGGATCCAGAGTGATCCTTGTGCAACATGAGCATCTTGGGCAGCTTTTCTGGGAGAAGTGACCTGGAGATGTGTGTATGCTTTGGGTCCAGCACTCAGAGGTTTGGCACATCCCCAGCCCCATCCTTGGGAGCTTGCCCTTCTCCAAGCCCATAAGCTGTGGTGCACAGCCCAGCACAGCCAATTCCAGAAGGATGCTGCAGCCAGCAGATTTCCTGTGAGGGCTGATGGGATGCGGGGTGACAGCTGGAGAGCTGTGCTGTCTTACCTGCACTGTAAACAAGGAGCGTGTGGGTGTTCAAGCTTGGGAAAGAGTGACCAGAGTTGACACCTTGTGCAGTTGGCAGAGTGACACAGAGAGGACAGCCTGGGTGGACCTTGTCATTACTTGCTTTGTTAGAAAAGCATGGATGCTGTGGGATGCTTTTGGGACTCAGCAGCCCTTTCCAGACCCATTTGAGCCCTAGCAGGGGGTGAGAGGAAGGGGAGCTCTTGGTATGAGGGGTTAGGGAGTGTGCTCCAGGAGAAGTGCCAGGTCAGCACTGATCCAGGCACCTTTGGCTGTGGCGCGCTGAGGGAGCAGAGCTGCTCTCTGGCACATTATGGGTCCCAGTGGAACGCTGGATCCCTCTCCTCACCCAATTCCCTCTCTCCCTGTCGCCAGCTAAAGCTGCAGGCCCGGCTGCGGGTGCGCCTGCCCACCATCCCCATCACCAAGCCGCACACCATGAAGCCAGCACCGCGCCCCACTCCCGTCAGGTCCACGGTGTCTCCCATCGTGTCGGGCGCCCGGCGGAGGCGGGTGCGGTGCCGGAAATGCAAGGCCTGCATGCAGGGCGAGTGTGGCATGTGCCACTACTGCAGGGACATGAAGAAGTTCGGCGGGCCCGGCCGCATGAAGCAGTCCTGTGTCCTCCGGCAGTGCTTGGCGGTGAGTCCAAGTTGGATTCCTGGGGGATAGCTGGTTGCTTCTCCATGGTTCAGGTAGTGGGGAAGGAAAGGAGGAAGGCTGTCCCACCATGCCCTGGTGTCAGCCCTGCTTTCCTTTGTAGCCCAGGTTGCCTCACTCGGTCACGTGTGCACTTTGCGGGGAGGTGGATCAGAACGAGGACTCACAGGACTTTGAGAAGAAGCTGATGGAGTGCTGTATCTGCAATGAGATTGTTCACCCTGGCTGTCTGCAGGTGAGCAGGGCACGTGCTGGGCAAAGGGGGGCTCTGCTGTGGGGCTGGGCTGCTGCTGACCCCCTCCTCTCATTGCAGATGGATGGAGAAGGGTTGCTCAATGATGAGCTCCCCAATTGCTGGGAGTGCCCCAAGTGCTACCAGGGTGATGATGCAGAGAAGGGCCAGGTAAGGAGCAAGGCAAGGCTCTGTGTCCTCCATCCCTCCCACTGCATCCTGCCAGGGATGTGTTCAACCAGCATGGGCTGGGAAGGCAGTCATCAGTCAGTCATCAGATTCTCATCAAAGAATGAGAATCATGGGGGTGGAGCACTTGAGGGACTGGGCACATCCTGCTGCAATGCGATCCTGAGATATTCCACTGTAAGAGACACTGGACTGTTAGGGACACTGGACTGTTAGGCACACAGTGGAAGCCACCCCCAACCTCAAAGGATGCCCTTTTTGAGAAGGGGTTAGGAAAATGCTCATTGCTGGTGTGGGTAGACTCTGGTCCTTGTGGTACTTAGATGAGCTGTGGGGAAGAAATTACTTCCTCTGAGGGTGGTGAGACCCTGGCAGAGATTGACCAAAGAAGCTGCAGATGCCCTATCCCTGGAAGTGTTCAAGGCCAGGTTCATTTGGCCTTGGAGCAACCTGATCTAGCGGAAGGTGTCTCTGTCTAACCCAAACTGTTCTGTGATTTCACTGGGCACTGCTGGTGCAGATTCTGCCAGCACCATGGTGTTTCCATGGGGAAGAAGAGAAGGGAAAAGCCTTCCCCAGGCCTCATTCCCACTAACCAGCCACCCCCGTTCCCCACAGAAGCGGAAGGTGGAGGAGAGCGATGACGACACGGCACAAGCCAAGGTGCTGCGGCCCCTGCGGAGCTGCGAGGAGCCCCTGACCCCCCCGCCCAATTCACCCACCCCGATGCTGCAGCTGATCCACGACCCCGCGTCCCCCCGTGGGGTGGTGACACGCTCGTCCCCGGGGGCCGGGCCCAGCGACCACCACAGCGCCAGCCGGGACGAGCGCTTCAAGCGCCGGCAGCTGCTGCGGCTCCAGGCCACGGAGAGAACCATGGTGCGGGAGAAGGAGAACAACCCCAGCGGCAAGAAGGAGCTGTCAGAGGTGGAGAAGGCCAAGCTGCACGGCTCCTACCTCACCGTGACGCTCCAGCGCCCCACCAAAGATGTCCACGGCACTTCGATTGTCCCCAAGCTCCAAGCCATCACGGCCTCCTCGGCCAACCTGCAGCACTCGCCGCGCGTGGTCGTGCGCCACGCGCCCGCCAGGATGCCCCTGCGGAGCGGGGGCGACGAGGACGCGGCCGCCGAGGAAGAGGAGGACGAAGAGGAAGAGGAGGATGAGAACGCGGAGGAGGGGGGGGCGGCCCGGCTGAACGGGCGCGGGGGCCGGGCGCAGGAGGGCGAGGAGAGCTGCGTCCAGCGCGAGGTCTGGATGTCTGTGTTCCGCTACCTCACCCGCAGGGAGCTCTGCGAGTGCATGCGGGTGTGCAAGACCTGGTACAAGTGGTGAGTGTGGGGACACGTCCTGGGGCTGGGGGTACATCTGTGGCGGACACCCAGAGGGAACCAGGGGGTGGATGTTGCCTTAGTGCCCTCCTGTCGCTCCCCAGAACCAGGCAGTGTCATTGTAGCCAGCCCTGCTGCCTCTGCCGTGTGTGTACCATCTCTGTTGTTCCCTTCTGCCTTCCTCCTGTCCCCTCAGCTGTCCCCTGCTGTGTCCTTGTGAGGTGCCAGTGCCCTCATGGGGATGGTGCCCTTCCTGGCCTCCCTTGCTGCCTCGCCTCCCAGCAGGCAGGGAAGGCAGGCTGAGGCGGGATGGCTTTGCTGGCTGGAAACGCCTTCGGGGACAGCAGGCCCGAAGAAGACAATGCTGGCACCAGGACAGCTGTGCATGGAGGGCTTGGGAACAGACGGGAATGGAAACTGGGAGGTTTCTAACAGCTGAGCAGCAGGGATTGCCTGCTTTGATCAGCAGCTGGTGGCAGTGGTGTGGTGGAGGAGTGTCCCCTCGCCTGCACCTTCAGGGACTCAGCTAAGCTGCCATCGGGTCCTGGCTCTCCGCAAACTCCTGTGGGAGGGGAAGAGTTTGCTCCTGGCAAAGGAGTGGGCTGTGGGGTGGGACACACAGTGTTTTGCCTGCTGGGAGTAAGGATCCTTAAGATCAGGAGAAACACCCAGAGAGGGGCAAGCAAGCCCGCCGCTGCAACTTGGAGTTTTATTTTGGGGCAGTAGAACCCTGCTGGGGCTGCACTGGGTGGCCCGACACCTTCAGCAGCCTCCCATGTTTGGGGAAACCTTATGGGAGCTAGGAGGAACAACCTTGTTCTGTGGCTAGGACCACACCAGGGCTGGGCTCCATCCAGAAGCCAGGCAGCCTGCTGGCTGTCTATTATCCCATGGGACTCTTGGGACTCAACTTCCAGCTTTGTCCTTGTCCCCAGGTGCTGTGACAAGAGATTGTGGACAAAGATAGACTTGAGCAGGTGCAAGTCCATCACCCCGCAGGCGCTGAGCGGCATCATCAAAAGGCAGCCGGTCAGCCTTGATCTCAGCTGGACCAATATCTCAAAAAAACAGCTTACATGGCTCGTCAACAGGCTGCCAGGTGAGTGTGGGCTGGGGAGGGGTCCCTTCCTCTGCCACCAGCCAGCCATGAGGCTTCTTGAGGGCTGGGTCATGGGGAGAGACACCCTGCAAGCCTGGAAACTCCTGGGTGCCTGGGTCCCATCACCCAGCAAGTGTCCCACCCCAGGCAGGGAGGGGACCTGCGTCCTCCTGCGCCTGGAAAAAGATGGTGGAGATCTGGGATGCCTGGGAGCCTCCCAAACCCGTTTAACTTGTTACCTGCCTCCCTTCTGCCAGGCCTGAAAGACCTCATCCTAGCGGGCTGTTCCTGGTCTGCGGTCTGTGCCCTCAGTACCTCCAGCTGCCCCCTTCTCAGGACCCTCGATCTTCGGTGGGCAGTAGGAATCAAGGACCCTCAGATCCGGGACTTACTCACGCCTCCAACAGACAAACCCAGTAAGCCGCTGCTGCCCTGGGGCTGCCTGGGCTGGACAAGGCAAGGTCCCCAGGGCAGTCTCTTCACTCTGGTTCTCCCTCTGCCTGTGCAGGTCAGGACAATCGCAGCAAACTCCGCAACATGATCGACTTCCGGCTCGCCGGGCTGGACATCACGGACGCCACGCTGCGCCTGATCATCCGCCATATGCCCCTGCTCTCCCGCCTCGACCTCAGCCACTGCAACCACCTCACGGACCAGTCGGCCAACCTCCTCACCGCCGTGGGCTCCTCCACACGCAACTCCCTCACCGAGCTCAACATGGCAGGTGCGTGCCCTGCTCCAGGTGCCTCCTGGACTTCCCGTTCCTCCTCCCGGTGCTGGCTGCTGGAGGTGTGCCCCTCACGCTCTCTGTGCTCTGCCCGCAGGCTGCAATAAGCTGACGGACCAGGCCTTGCTGTACCTGCGCCGCATCTCCAACGTCACCCTCATCGACCTGCGGGGTTGCAAACAGATCACCCGCAAAGCCTGTGAGCACTTCATCTCGGACCTGTCCATCAACAGCCTCTACTGCCTGTCTGATGAGAAGCTGATCCAAAAAATCAGCTAGAGACCCTCCCCGGGGCAGACTGAGGAGAAGGAAAAGAGCCCATCCCGCCCCTCTTGGAGAGCCCCTCCTCCATCTCCCCCCTTGCCCTGCGCGTCCTGCCGCTGCCTCCCACCTGGCTCGGCAGGCAGGGCTGTCGCTGGCCTCGCTCCACTGTCCTTCCTCCTCCTCCTTCCCCGGGACTTCTGCCGAGGAAGACGTCCCGCCAGGCCGGCCAGTACCAGAGGAGGAACGGGCACATGGCAGGGAGCCTGGGCCCGGAGGCTGGCCGCTCCCGAGGCGGGGGCTTTGACAGAGGCCTCTGTGCAGAGAAATGGGGCACCCTCTCCCCCCAGCTTTTCCCCTCCTCCCCGTCGTCTCCTTGCCTTGAAACACTTGTCACTTCCCCGGTAGCACAAAGCTTGAGGGTCAAGGTCTCTCCGAGGAAGCAGGAGCAGAGCCAGAACACCCCGTCCCCCTCTGTGCCGCCACCAGCTCGGCGCTTCCCTGCGCTCTCCCCCCCTTTTCCCTTCCCCTTCCCCTCGACTGGCTGCAGGGATTGCTGTCCATGCCCCTCTTCCTCCCACGCATCCGGGCGGTTCTTTAAGCACCCAGGGCAGGAGCCCCGTGGCCGGGGTGTCCCGGGAGCAGGGGCTGGGGGATAACTCGTCTGTCCGAGGGGATGGAGCAGGGGAGAACCCACAGGTACACCAGAGCTCAGGGAGGACTCGGGAAGCATCAGCCAGGGGTGAGTGAGCCCGGGGCGGGGACAGGAGCTGCCTCCTCTTCCTCCCCAGCTCCCGGCACCACGAAGCACTCTGGGGCCGGAGGGGCGAGGGCTGCTCCGCGGCCTGGGACCGAACTGGCATCGTCCTCTCCTTTCCCCCCACCCCCTTTTCGCTGCCGATTTTCCTTTGCAATGAATGGTTGGTCCAAAGAACCTCTCTCTAGGGCAGCAGAGAGCTTTTTGCACTTTAAAAAAAAAACAACAAAAAAAAGACAAAAAAACAAAACAAACAAAAAAAGACAAGAAAAAAAAAGAAAGGAAAAAAGGTTGGAATCTTCTTTTTCTGGGTCACTATTTTATTTCCCTCCCTGTCCTGCCTGTGCCTGGACACTCCCCCTCTCTGCCCCCCCGGTGTCAGCACCCTGCTCTCTCCCTGGCAGCATACCGATAGCACAATCCGGGGTGTCCCCTCCGTGCCACCACCGGTCCCCAGCCCCGCAGGGGTGCCCGGGGGGCAGCCCGCACCCCCCCCCTGCTGCTTCAGAAGCAATAAAGGAGGAGAGGCGGCCAGCGGGGTCTGTCCCCGGCAGGGGGACAGCAGGGGCCAATCCCGCAGTGCCTGCGACAAGGGGCAGTGCGGCCAGCGGAGCCTGGAGCAGGAAGCCCCCCCAGGCGAGAGGAGGAGCCTTCGGCCTCGGCCTGTCTCGGCGGCGGCTCCCGGGAACGACATCGGAAGAATTAAAGCTTTTCTTTTTCCTTTGGATTCCTTTTTGAGTTTTGCAACGCGAAAGAAAATTTCCAGAGCTGGGGTTGAGAGGGGCGAGGTGCTCCCTCCCCCGGGGGGACAGCACCCCCTTCCCGCCGTGTCCCCCCCTCCAGCGCAGAGACTCCGGCGTGCCACCCTCCTCACCACCCCGGCGTGGTGCAAATCCACGAGGAAGAAAAAAAGAGAATTATATATAATAAAAATCACTTAGTGATTTAAAACCAACCCAGCCTGCTCCCTAAAGACAACTCCTGCAAGCAAAGTCACTTGTTTAAGGGTTTGGTTGTGGTTTTGTTTTGTTTCAATGCCCCCTTCCCTCCCTTCCTCCTTTCCTCCCTTCCCCGGAGAAATATTGTAAATATCTATTTTTTTGTTGGCGATTTAGAGTCCATCTCTGATGTTTGTGCTTTAAAATTAAATGTAAGCATTAAGGGTAAAAGTAAACCAAGTCTTGCACTCTCTCAGCTGGGGTTGGGGGTTCTTGGCTGGGGCAGAGGGAGGGGGAGGGCACCTATTTGGCAAGTGGGTTTGCTTTTTTTTTTGCTTTTTTATTTTTTGCCTTTTTTCTTTCTTTCTTTCTTTCTTTATTTTGGGGGTTTTTGCTTCCTGAGCCTTCTCCCATGCTGGATTTTTAGAGAGGCTCTTTGCTCATACCATATTAGCAGCAGGCTGGGTGAGCTGTTGTGTGGGGAGGGAAAACCCGAGCCTCCCACGGGAAATATTTTGTTTCTTGGGGGTGGATTTTTGGAATTAAAAAAAAAAAAAAGAAAAAAAAAAGACCAACTAAAATCCATGAGTGTGAGCTCTGCCTGTTTGTCTGTGAGGGAAGTGGAGGGGACAGGCCAGGGCTGGGACCTCCTGTATCCCCCCTGTCCCCTCCACTGTGGCTTTCTCAGCTGCTCGAGAAGAAACTGGAGCATCGTCTGTGGTGGCAGCTGTCCCGGTGTCCCCACTGTCTGCTGGCGGGTGGTGGCAGCTGTCCCTGTGTCTCATCACCTCCTGCCAGGGCCACAGCTCCTCCAGAGACCTGTGGGGCTCTTGCCCTCCATGTCCCTTGGGAAACCTGTCCTCTCCCAGTGGATTCCTGGGCCACCAGAGTGACATTTAGTGTCCCCCACCCTGTGGGGATGTCACAGCCCAGGTCCCCATGGCAGCTGAGCTGTGACATTTGCATGGTGAGGCACGCAGCAGGTGCCATCATCCTCCACAGGTGGCTGAGGCCACTGTCACCCTCCCTGTGCCCTGGTCCCCAGGTGCCACCACATGCCCCTCGCAGTGATGCACTGGAGCCAAGCGAATCTCAGGGCCCCAACCCCCTGCCTGTCCCCTCCCGGTGTCCCTTTGTGGCCCCAGGGACAGGGACCCTGCCCACAGTGTCACATCCACTGCCGCGCGTGGCACGTGTGGGCACACACACACGTGGTGTGGAGTGACACACACGATGTCACGCACACACAGCCACTGTCACACACCCGTGCTGTCTCTCACACAGTGTCACACACACAATGGCACGCACAGGGATGGCGTCACACCCGTGGTGTCACACCCCCAGGCTGGCACACACACCTGGTGGCACACGGGCACCCAGTGCCACACAACCTCTGTCACACCAAGTGTCACACACGTAGTGTCACACATGCAGTGTCACACACATACAGTGTCACACACACTCCCAATGTCACACACCCAGTGTCACACACACACGCAGTGTCACACACGCAGTGTCACACACACACTCCCAATGTCACACAGTGTCACACACACACACACAGTGTCACACACGCAGTGTCACACACACACTCCCAGTGTCACACACCCAGTGTCACACACCCCGCCAGTGCCACAGCCGGTGTCCCGGCCCCTCCCAGGCGGGCGTGGCGGTGGCGGTGTCGCTGTCGCCGCCCAGCCCCGCTGTCCCCGCCCGCTCCGGTGCGGCCGCGCCCCGTTCCGCGCTGCGCTCCCGCCGGCGCCGGCGGCGGGGCCGGCGGCGCGGCACGATGGCGGACCTGGAGGCGGTGCTGGCGGACGTGAGTTACCTGATGGCCATGGAGAAGAGCCGCGCCGCGCCCGCCGCCCGCGCCAGCAAGAGGATCGTCCTGCCCGAGCCCAGGTGAGGCCCCGCCGCTGCCCCTCCGCCTGTCCGTCCGTCCGTCCGTTCGTCCGTGCGTGCGTGCGTGCGTGCGCCCGCGGCTCCGCCACCCCCGGTCCCTCGGTCAGCCCTGCCCGGCACTGCTCGCACGCTCCCGCGGTCACGGACACCTCCCGCACACGTGTGTGCCGGTCACAGCTGGCCTGACACACCGACACGGACACACGCGTCATGCCTGTTGCACAGACAGGCACACGGACATGGACACACGGACATGGACACACGAACATGGACACACAGGGATATGGACGGACACACACGCGTCATGCCTGTTGCACAGACAGGCACATGGACATGGACACACACAGACATGGACACACGGATATGGATACACAAGCGTCACGCCTGTTGCACAGACAGACGCACGGACATGGACACATGCGGACATGGACACACGAACATGGACACACGGATATGGACACACACAGACATGGGCACACACACACAGACACACTTCCTGCCTGACACAGGGACACACAAACACAGACACACGGACGCGAACACGCACACATCCTGCTGTCCCACCCAGCTGTGTGTCCCTTCTGTGGCGCCGTGCCACACCCATGTGTACACACACACACACACACACACACACATATCCCTGTACCCAGGCGTGCAGAGGGTCACGGTGCCCCCCGCCAGACCCCGGTGCCCTCCCGTGCCCTCACTGCCAGGCACCCATGAGGCTTTTTTCAGGGTGACACTCGTCCCCACCCTCCCTTGGGCCCCAGTGCGTGGGACACGCTGTGATCCTGGCACCCACAACGTGCCACACTTGGGTGGGGACACACAGGATGGCAGGACACACATGCCACCGGGGCTTGGGGACACGGGAGGAGCAGGATGGGGGGGTGGGGAGCAGGGCTGCATCGGGGGCACGGCTGAGCCCCTCCGGTGTGTCCCCAGCATCCGCAGCGTCATGCAGAAGTACCTGGAGGACCGGGGGGAGGTGACATTCGACAAGATCTTCACGCAGAGGATCGGTGAGCTGGGGACACGGCGGCTGTGGGGGACACCAGTGGGTGGGGTGGGCTGGGGGACTGCACTGGTGGCCACCATGACAGCGAGAGTGGCCACGGGAGTGGCAGGGGGGTTGTGGGGCCAGGCTGGGCTGGGTGCCGGGGGGCTGCGCCACGTTCCCCAGCCTGTGTCCCTGTCCTGTCACTTCCCCCCACGCCAGCGCAAACCGTCCGGGGCAGGAAGCGCCTCTCACTTCCTCCTGCCGCTCCAGCGGTTTCCGGGCACGTCCGCCCTGCTCCGTGTGCCCGCCCGTGCCCCTGCCCCCACTGTGCCCCACGGCAGCCCCGCGCTGCCCCGCGCTGTCCCAGGGTGCTGCTGCCCACGCCAGCTGTGTCCTTGGCACCCTGTCACCCTGCCAATCCTCACCGGTCCCTGCTTGGCACTTCCCCAAGCCTGGCACCGGGGTGGCAGCAGGGCTGGGCAGGCCCAGGGGATGTCCCTGTGTTCCTTGGCCTGGGCCGGGGGGCTGTCACCTCTCATGCTGTGGCTCTGTCCCTGCAGGCTACCTGCTTTTCCGGGATTTTGCCTTCAACCAGGCCGAGGAGGCCAAGCCCCTGATGGAATTTTACGAGGAGGTGAGACGGGGGACCCAGGGGACAGGGACAGCCCCCTGCGTGCACCAGGAGTGGGGCTGGTACCTCCAGGGCCCTTGGACACGGTGCCAACAGCACCACCCTAGGTGGCAGTGCCCAGGGAGCTGGGAGAGACTGTCCAAGGGGATGGGATAACCCCTCCCGTGGGACATGGCACCCAGAGGGGCCACAATTCCAGCGTGCCCCCGTGCCACCGGAGCTGTGCCCCCTCCAGATCAAGAAGTACGAGAAGCTGGACTCGGAGGAGGAGCGAGCCGCCCGCAGCCGCCACATCTTCGACCATTACATCATGAAGGAGCTGCTGGCCTGCTCCCACGTGAGTGCCTTGGGGTGGGACAGCAGGGTGGCAGGGATGTCCCCACTGTGCCCACAGCATCCTCAGGGGCAGCTGCACACCCCGCACAGGCTCCATCCTGGGAGCCACATCCCAGCCCTGTGGATGGGGGTTCCTCTGTGGATTCCTGCCTCGTGCAGCCCCGCCTGGCCGCTGTCCCTTCTGCCCGAGGTGACACGGTCCTGTCCCCCTCACAGCCCTTCTCCAAGAGCGCCACGGAGCACGTCCAGAGCCGCCTGAGCAAGAAGCAGGTGCCCCCAGATCTCTTCCAGGTGGGCATCACCTGGGACAGGGAAGGGGTCCTTGCCACCTGTAACACTCAGAGGGTTAATCCTTAGAGGGGGCTGGGGGTGACAGGAGTCCCTGGAAGTGGGAGGGGGGTGTCCCAGGAGGAATGGGGACCCCGAGGGATGGTGAGAGGGTCCCCAGAATGTTGGGAGTGAGGGGGAATTGCTTGTAGTCCCCATGGGGTGATGGGAGACTGGGGGCTGGAGGTAGCAGGGGGTCCTCAGAGGGAGGTGACTGGGACCCTGGATGTCACCCTAGGGGTCCCCAGGGCTGGTGGTGTTGGGGTTCCCAGAGACTGAGGTGGCAGAGGCATCCCCAGGGGCCTGGAAGTGGCAGTGGGGGGACGTGAAATCCCAGGGGTGGAGGAGACCCCACAAAATGATGGGGTCGGGGTGACCTGGGTGGCCCTGGGGAGCCAGCACTGAGCCCTGTGTCCTCCCCAGCCCTACATTGAGGAGATCTGCCAGAACCTGCGTGGGGGCATCTTCCAGAAATTCATTGAGAGGTGAGTTGGGAGGAAATTCCCATGCAGATTGGGGTGTCCCATCCCACTGTCTCCCAGCCCAGAGAGGGACCAGGGGTCCCCACAGTGTGGACTCGGGGGTCTCTTCCTTTCCCAAGTGTCCTGGGGGTGCTCCCCATCTCCAGACAAATCCAGGGAGTCTTTAAGGGCCGTGTTTCTCCAGGATCTCCACTCTTGCCCTCTCTGCTCTTCCTTGCAGTGACAAGTTCACACGATTCTGCCAGTGGAAGAATGTGGAGCTGAACATCCATGTGAGCAGGAATCCCTGCCCCTCACCTCCCAGGGAGAGGGATGTGCTTCCAGGCAGCCTCCGTGTCCCTCACCTGGGAAAACTGGGGCAGGGCTTGGTGTCCAGGCTCATCCCAGTCTCCTCCTCAGCTCACCATGAATGACTTCAGCGTGCACCGCATCATCGGCCGCGGCGGCTTCGGGGAGGTCTACGGCTGCCGGAAAGCGGACACGGGCAAAATGTAACGGGAACGCTCTGGCACGGGGTTTCGGGGTGCTGGGGGGCCCCAGTGGCATTGCTGTGGTGACACGTGTCAGGGGGGCTGCGGGGATATTGTCATGGGGGAGCTGGGTGCTGGCCCTGCTGTGGGGACGCGGTGGCTGCAGGGACTCCGTGTCGCCGCCAGGTACGCCATGAAGTGCTTGGACAAGAAACGCATCAAGATGAAGCAGGGCGAGACGCTGGCCCTCAATGAGCGCATCATGTTGTCCCTCGTCAGCACTGGGGTGAGGGGACACGGGTGCTGGGCTGGGCACGGGGTGGCAGGGGACAGGGACAGGGAGGGTGACCCCGTGTTTCCCGCCAGGACTGCCCGTTCATCGTGTGCATGTCCTACGCCTTCCACACGCCCGACAAGCTCAGCTTCATCCTCGACCTCATGAACGGTGAGACCCCGGCCCCGAGCCACTCCCGGGGCACAGAGCCCCCTGCCTCACCTGCTCCAGGTGACAGCCAGTCCCTGTCCCCGCAGGGGGGGACCTGCACTATCACCTGTCCCAGCACGGCGTCTTCTCGGAGGCGGAGATGCGGTTCTACGCGGCCGAGATCATCCTGGGCCTGGAGCACATGCACAGCCGCTTTGTGGTGTACCGTGACCTCAAGGTGACCGTCCCCACCCGCAGGACGTCCCCAGGCCTTTAGAAACCCCTCCACTGCCCTGTGGGTCCCACAGGTGTCACAAACCCTGCGGGGGCCCTCAGAACACTGTGGGCGCTCGCCGAGCCCAGAGGGCACCCTCGGGTCTAATGGGCACCCCAACAGCAAAGTCTGTGGGCACCCTGAGACTTCGTGGGCACTCAGACATCCCCAAATCTCACAGAGCCCCCCAGGCTCCCCACCCCATACCCATGGGCCACTCTGGGGCTCAGGGTGTCCCCCGGTGTCTCTGCAGCCAGCAAACATCCTCCTGGACGAGTTCGGCCACGTCCGCATCTCCGACCTGGGCCTAGCCTGCGACTTCTCCAAGAAGAAGCCCCACGCCAGCGTGTGAGTGTGCCCACACCCCTGCCTGCCCTGACCCCTGCCCGGGGCGGCCCCTGACCCCCCTGTGCCCCCTCCCCAGGGGCACCCACGGGTACATGGCGCCGGAGGTGCTGCAGAAGGGGGTGGCCTACGACAGCAGCGCCGACTGGTTCTCGCTGGGCTGCATGCTCTTCAAGCTGCTCCGGGGGTGAGTGTGGGCTCAGCTGGGCACAGCTGGACACAGCTGGGCACAGCTGGGCTCTGCTGAGCCCCCTCTCCCTCCACGCCACAGGCACAGCCCGTTCCGGCAGCACAAGACGAAGGACAAGCACGAGATTGACCGGATGACCCTCACCATGGTGGGTGGGGGCACTGGGGGGTCTGTGGGCAGGACATGGGCACCCCTGGCCTGGGAGGCACACAGAGGGTCAGGGACAGCTGGTCTTTGCCTGGAGCACGTGTGTGTGCCCAGCTGTGTGTCAGTGTGTGTCCCTGTCCCCGCTCGGCAGTGATCTCATGGAATGTCCCACAGGCCGTGGAGCTGCCGGACTCCTTCTCCCCGGAGCTGCGCTCCCTGCTCGAGGGGCTGCTGCAGCGGGATGTCAACCGGCGCCTGGGCTGCATGGGGCGAGGGTGAGTGTCCCCGAGGCCCCCAGGGGATGGGACAAGGTGTGCTGGCACAGTCCCCCTGCGGCCACGCTCACCCACCCTCCTCCTGCCACAGGGCGCAGGAGGTGAAGGAAGAGCCCTTCTTCAAGGACCTGGACTGGCAGATGGTGTTCCTGCAGAAGGTGAGGGGTGTCTGCCCATGGCTGGGGACAGGGACAAGGACACAGCTGCGGGCAGCCACCCCTCTGACCCCCACTGCTGCCCACAGTACCCGCCGCCCCTCGTCCCGCCCCGCGGCGAGGTGAACGCGGCCGACGCCTTTGACATCGGCTCCTTTGACGAGGAGGACACCAAGGGCATCAAGGTACCGGGCACAGGGGCCGGGCGTGGGGGCGTGGGGTGGCCCACCGCCCCTCACCCCGGCATCCCCCCCTGCCCAGCTGCTGGAGAGCGACCAGGAGCTGTACCGCAACTTCCCGCTCACCATCTCGGAGCGCTGGCAGCAGGAGGTCACCGAGACTGTCTTCGACGCCGTCAACGCTGACACCGACAAGCTGGAGGCCCGCAAGAAGGCCAAGAACAAGCAGCTGGGCCACGAGGAGGGTGAGTGGGGCCGGGGACCCCCACCCTGAACCACCCCTGGCCACATTCCGGTTGCTGATCCCGGCTCCCTGTGGTCCCAGAGTACGCCATGGGCAAGGACTGCATCATGCACGGCTACATGGCCAAGCTGGGCAACCCCTTCCTGACGCAGTGGCAGCGCCGCTACTTCTACCTCTTCCCCAACCGCCTGGAGTGGCGCGGGGAGGGCGAGTCGCCGGTAAGGAGGGCACAGCACCGGGGGGTGAGGGCTGGGGGACCCCAGTGAGGGCACGGGGACCGGGCTGAGCCTGTCCCCCCAGCAGTCCCTGCTCACCATGGAGGAGATCGACTCGGTGGAGGAGACGCAGGTGAAGGAGCGCAAGTGCATCCTGCTGCGCATCCGCGGGGGCAAGCAGTTCGTGCTGCAGTGCGACGTGAGTGTCCCCCCCGCCCCCCTGGGTGCTGGCCACCTCCTGCTGCCTGCTAGCCATCCCCCCTGCTGGCTACTACCCGCCTCTTGCTGGCCACTTGCATGTTCAGTCCTTCAAGCCATGCCGGGGCAGCAGTACTGAAAACGTGGGGCAACCCCACAGCGCTGGCACCCTGTGGGGATTCAGCCACGCTGTGCCCTGCCCTGTCCCCTCTCCTGACCCAGCTGCCTGCCCCGCAGAGCGACCCCGAGCTGGTGCAGTGGCGGAAGGAGCTGCGGGACGCACAGCGCCAGGCGCAGCAGCTGCTGCAGCGGGTGCCCCGCATGCAGAACAAGCCGCGCTCGCCCGTGGTGGAGCTCAGCAAAGTGCCCTTCATCCAGCGCTCCCCCAACGGGCTCTGACCCCTCCCCGCGCCCCCTTCCCCTTCCCACCCCACCTCTAATTTATTGGGTTGGGTTCCCGCGTGTCCCCCGCTCTCCGTGTGCCCGGGGGCTGGGGGGGGACGCGCCCGGTGCCGGCGTCACCCGGGGGCGCGGCCTGGCACCTTCTCCCCGGTGTGCCCCCCGCTCCTCCAGGAAGTCTCCGGCTCAGATGAAGGCAGCCCCCGTCCCTCCCGCCCGCTCCCCAGTGCCGTGTGTGCCAAAGGGGCCGGCGGGGTCCCCAGCCGGCATGTCCCTCCTCCCTGCGTGGCTGTGACACCCCCTCGTGCGCGTGCGTGGCTGTGTGTGAGTGTGTGCCCAGGGGGACCCCCTGTAAATACTGTGCCACGGGTCCCCTGCACCCCCCGCTCTGCCCCTGCCCCTCCTGCCCCTCCCCAGGGCACCCCCAGCCCCCTGCCCTCCCTCCTGAGGAGAAAGGAGCAGGTGGGACCCCCTTAAATCAGCCACGGGTGGGCACAGGGGTGCCCCCTGCCCCCCAGTCCCCGGCAGCATCTGTAAATATTAGTATCTGGTCGCTCTGCTCCCGGGGCTGGGGGGACACCAGGCAGGGGGGGCACGGGGCAGGGCCGGGGCAGTGGGTGAGTGAGGTTTTCATGAGCAGAGAGATGTGAGAATGCCAAAAAAAGAAGAGTTTTTATAATAAAAAGATGGAAAAACACCATCCGGCTCCACCTCACTGCAGGGGGGAGAGATGGCTCTGCACCTGCTGAGGGTGGCGTGGAGTCCTTGTCACCTCCTGTGGTGTGGGAGATTCCTGTGTGTCCCCCTATGGACGCACCAGCACTTTGGGGACATGCTGGAGCATCCCCAGGCCCCACAGGATGGGGGTCCCGAGCCAGCCTGGGCTGCTGGGGCTTGTGTCCCCCATTTCTGCTCTGTCCCTGGGGATGATCTGGGCTGTCACTTGTCACCAGGCAGCGCAGGTGCCACCTGTCCTGCCCACACCCTGCCTGCAGGCAGCGCGTCAGGGCGCGGCTGGGCTGGTGCTCCGGCATTCCTGGGGAGCGGCAGGGCCAGGATGGGATGTGGGATGTGGGATATGGGATATGGGATGGGATGGGATGGGATGGGATGGGATGGGATGGGATGGCATGGGATGGCATGGCATGGGATGGGATGGGATGGCATGGGATGGGATGGGATGGGATGGACCCAGGACTGTGCTGAGCAGCAGGTACCCACGGATGTCAGGATGCAAAAGGGGTCAGAGAGCGCCGGGGCCCCCCAGGGTGTCCAGCAGGCGATGCCGGGCACCGGCAGCCCCCGGTACCGGGGCTCGGCTGGGGGCCAGTGGGTCTCTGTTACAACCCCGGCGGGAGAGTGTGAGAGGGGGCGGCCCCAGGCTGTGTCCGGTGCCGGTTTCAGTGGCACTCCCGGTGCTGCTGCGGTGGCGCTGCCCACAGTCACGGTTCGCGGTGCCGGTGCCGTTCCCAGCGCCTGCTCCATTCCCGGTGCCGATAACGTTTCCGGTGCCGATAACATTTCGAGGTGGCCCGACACCTCGCTCCCTTTCCCGCTGCCCGTTCCCGTGCGCAGTGCCTGCTCCATTCCCGGCGCCTGCTTGCTCGCGGAGCGCCGTTCCCGCGGCCTTGGCCGTGCCCGGTGCCGGTGCGTGCCGCCGGTGCCCGGTGCGGCCCCGCCCCGCGCCGCCCAGCCATTGCGGGCAGGCCCCGCGCTGCGGCCCGCTCCGTCCGCCCCGGCGGCCCCGGGGACATGGTGCCGGGATGGCCCGGCCCGCCGAGACCTTCCCGCTGCACCGGCTCGTCTGGCACAACCGGCACCAGGCGCTGGACAGCGCCCTGCGCGCGGGGACGGTGGGAACGGCGCCGGGAGCGGCACCGGGAGCGGCGCCGGGAGCGGGCACCCCCCACGCACCGGCACCGGGAGCGGGAGCGGGCGGGAGGGCGATGGCAGGGAGAACGGCAGCGCGGGGATGGGGGACTGGGAGCGCTGGGAATGCTGGGGGGGACTGGGAGCGCTGGGGAAAACCGGGAAGGCTCTGCTGGGGGAGGGGGGGCGGGGAGGGGGGATGCTGGGAGGGACTGGGAGCACTGGGAGATACTGGGAGCACTGCGGGGATGGGGAGCACTGGAGGGAGACTGGGAGCATCAGGGAAGGCTGGGGACGCGGCACTGGGAGCACTGGGGAGAAGACTGGGAGCACTGCAGAGGGACTGGGAGCGCTAGGGGAGATGGGGCACAGGGGATGGGACAACTGGGGGCACAGGGGACTGGGGGAACGGGGGGGAGGCTGGGAACACTGGGAGCATGGGGAGCTGGTGGCACTGGGTGGGGGGACAGCACTGGGAGCATCTGGGGGAACTGGGAGTGCTGGAGGAAGACTGGGAGTGGTGTGGGGACTGGGAGTACCGGGGAGACTGGGACTCAGGGGACTGGGAGCACTGGAAGAACTGGTGGCACTGGAAGGACTGGTGACACTGGGGTAATAAGGGACTGTGACACTGGGATAATAAGGGTAGCACCAAAGGCCTGGAAGCAACTGGGGGCGCTGGGATTGGGTTGGCTGCACTGGGAGAAGGGGGGCTGGGAGCACCAGGCCTTGGGAACATGGGGGACACAGGCGGAGCACTGGGGTGGCACGGGGAGAGGGCAGTGACCCCAGGACCCTTCCAGCACGACGTGGAGCTGACAGACCCGCGTGGCCGGACGCCCCTGGAGCTGGCCGTGTCCCTGGGCCACCTGGAGTCGGTGCGGGTGCTGCTGCGGCACAACGCCAATGTGGGCCGGGAGAACGCCAATGGATGGACGGGTACAGGGACACCACGGGCACTTGGGGACACCGTGCCGGGGCGCGGGTGGCCTCCAGCTGACGGCACCCCGTGTCCCCAGTGCTGCAGGAGGCGGTGAGCACGGGGGACCCCGAGATGGTGCAGCTGGTGCTCCAGTACCGTGACTACCAGCGGGCGACGCGGCGCCTCGCTGGCATCCCCGAGCTGCTCAGCAAACTGCGGCGGGTACAGCCCCCAAAACTGCACCCCAGAGCCCCCCAGGGACACCCACCAGCCCCATCCCTTTGCTCAAGACTCCTCACCTCTCCAGTGACTGCAGCAGAGAGCCCCCAAGTCTCCCCAGGACCCCCTGTCTCCTCCATGACCCCACTCTTTCCCCAGGGACGCATCCAACCCCACTTCCCCACACTGCCCTGATCCCCACCCCGGACCCCAATAGGAATCCCCATCCCTGTTCTCCAGACTTCCCACGTCCTCAGTGGTCTGAGAAGGGACCCCAGATTCTCCCCAGAAGCCCCCACTGACTCCGTTCTTTCCCTGGGGACCCCCTGCTTATCCTTTTCCTCTGGGACTCGCTGCTTATCTATCCCTGTGGACCTGCACTAGTGGCCCCACTCTCTCTGATCCCCACCCAGGACCCCAGTAAGGACTCTTCAGACTCCTCCCCCCTCCCCAGTGACCCCAGCAGGGCGTCCCCAGCCCCTCCACGTCCCCCACCATTCTCCTCATCCCTTCCAGGCATCCGACTTCTACGTGGAGATGAAGTGGGAGTTCACGAGCTGGGGTGAGCGTGGCCGGGCTGGGCGGGGGAAGGGGGTCCCCAGGGGCCCCCCGGCCGCGGGGCTGAGGGTCCCTGTGCCCGCAGTGCCCCTGGTGTCCAAGGTGTGTCCCAGCGACGTGTACCGCGTGTGGAAGCGTGGCGAGAGCCTGCGGGTGGACACCACCCTGCTGGGCTTCGAGCACATGACGTGGCAGCGCGGCCGCCGCAGCTACATCTTCAAGGGGGAAGGTCAGCTCCAGCCCCCCGCCGCCCCTCTGTCACCCTGGGGAGCCCCCGGGGGCCCTGCACCATGAGTGCATCCCTGTAAGGACCTGTCTGGATTCCCTGGGGGCCCTTCAGTCCTTGTGGGGACCCACAGACCCCCTGCACTATAAGTGCACCCCTATAAAGAGCCCAGATTCACTACAGGGACTTCCCTGGAGATCCCCAGACCCTCTTCACTATAAATATTCCTGTAAGGACCTCCCAGATCCCCTCTAGGGACCACGTAGGATTCCAGTTCCCCCCTCCCAAAGGGAACACCTCAATTCTTATACCAGGGACCCCCAATTCCCCAGATCTCCCAAAGGAAACCTTAGTTCTCCCTGAGGGAACCACCTCAGCTCCTGCATGTACGAGGGACCCCCAATTCCCCCAGCCCCCCAGTGCCCCAGGCCTGGGGGTGTCACTGGGGGTGGGTGCTGACCCCTGCGGTGTCCCCACGCAGACGAGGGGGCCGTGGTGATGGAGGTGGACCACGACAAGCAGGTGGTGTACACGGAGACGCTGGCGCTGGCCCTGCACGAGCCCGAGCTGCTGCTGGCGGCCATGCAGCCCACCGAGGAGCACGTGGCCGGCCGGCTCACCTCGCCCATCGTGTCCACACACCTGGACACGCGGAACATCGCCTTCGAGAGGTGGGAGGGGAGGGGGAGCTCGCGAGGGGGAAGCGCGGGCCAAGGGGAAGGAAGCGCTGGTGCAAGAGGGTGAGGCCTCCCCGCTCCCCCAGGAACAAGTCTGGGATCTGGGGCTGGCGCTCGGAGAAGATGGAGGTGGTCAGCGGCTACGAGGCCAAGGTGAGCATGGGGACGGGGGGGGACACGGAGGACAGCCTGGAGTGTGGCAGGCCTGACGGTGTCCCCACACAGGTGTACAGTGCCAGCAACGTGGAGCTGGTCACCAAGACCAGGACGGAGCATCTCTCCGACCAGGACAAGTCACGCAGCAAAGGTGACAGCCCTGTCAGCCAATCAGGGGGCCTGTGCACGGTGGGGACAAGCCACCCTTCCTGGGTGTCACAGGTGTCAGGTGTGGGACACTGTGGGTGTGACACTCCGGGTGTGGGGTGTGACATGTCAGGTGTGGGACACTGTGGGAATAATGTGACAGGCGTGGGACAGCGTGCAGTGTGCCACCCATGAGGGATGTGACCGCTGACAGCCCTGGGAGTCCCTCCCACTGCCCACACCTCACCCTGCACCCCCCTCTCCCCCCAGGCTCCAAGACCCCCTTCCACTCCTTCCTGGGCATCGCGCAGCAGCACGGCACCCACAACGGGGTGAGTCGCCATCCCTGGCCTCCCTGGGGAATCTGGGGGTCTCCAGGGGGGCTGAGTGGTGCTGCTGTCCCCCCAGGCACCCGTCCTGCAGGCTGCCAGCCCCACCAACCCCACGGCCATCACCCCCGAGGAGTACTTTGACCCCCACTTTGACCTGGAGACCCGCAACATCGGGCGCCCCATCGAGATGTCCAGCAAGGTGCAGAGGTGAGGCCACCACCCCGGGGTTGGGACAAACAGGATGGTGACAAAGTCCTCAGGATGGGATGCAGAGGGTGGTGACAGGACAGAGTCCTTGGGGGCCGTGCCACTGCTGTCCATGCACGGGGTGTGGCCAGGGCGGTGGCACTGGGGTGGTGCTGGTGGCCAGTGTCCCCAGCGGGTCCCCGTGCCCATGGTGGTGCCCGGGCAGGTTCAAGGCGACGCTGTGGCTGTGCGAGCAGCACCCGCTGTCGCTGGCGGAGCAGGTGACGCCCATCATCGACCTCATGGCCATCTCCAACGCCCACTTCGCCAAACTGCGCGACTTCATCACCCTCAAGCTGCCCCCTGGCTTCCCCGTCAAGATCGGTGAGAGGGACAGCTCATTTTGGGGCGGGATTAATAGGGGAGTTCACTGGGGCTTCAATTGACGCCTGAACCCGCAGAGATCCCCCTGTTCCACGTGCTCAACGCCCGCATCACCTTCAGCAACCTGTGCGGCTGTGACCAGCCCCTGGGCTCCGTGCGGATCTGCGCCCCCCAGGAGCCCCCCGGCGCCCACCCCCCTGGCACCCAGCCCTCTGGGCCCAGAGGTGAGGCTGTGGGGCCTGTGGCCGGGAGGTGCTGGGGTTGCATGGGTGCAGAGCAGCGTGGGTATGGGGCGCTGTGGGCGCTGACGGCTCCCCGTGTGCGGCAGCGTGGCCGTTCCCATGCGAGGTGGAGGCGGGCGTGTTCGAGGTGCCGGCGGGGTACACGGTGCTGGGCGCGGGGCGCAGCGAGCCCCTGCGGGACGAGGACGACGACCTGCTGCAGTTCGCCATCCAGCAGAGCCTGCTGGACGCCGGCACTGAGACCGACCAGGTGAGGCCACGCGCCCTCACCTGGACACGCCCCCGGTGCACCTGGGCACGCCCCTAAGGTGTGGCCACACCCCACAGGTGACCATCTGGGAGGCGCTGACCAACACCCGCCCCGGCGCCGAGCCGCCGCCCTACGATGAGGACCTGCAGCTGGAAAGGTGAGGTTCAACCCGTGGGGGCGTGGCCTGGGGTGCCACGCCCACCTCACCTGGGCAGGGCCAAACTGGGAGGGGCAGGGGTTAAAGGTGTCAGGGTGTGGTCGGGGCAGGGTTAAAGGTGTTGGGGTGTGGCCAGGGGAGGGGCTGAAAGGGAGGAGCTTCTTTCTGCCCAAAGGGTGTGTCCACAATGGGCGTGGCTAACCACCTGTGTGGGTGTGGCTAGGAGCTGGGCGGGGCATGTGGGGAGGGGCATGGCTCTCCAGGCCATTTAAGGGCTGTGAAAGAGGTGTGGCCTCCAGGGGTGGGGCACAGGGGTGCCAGAGGGGGTGTGGCTCCCATGACAGGGGTGACATGTCCCGTGACACGGGTGTGGCCCCACTGCTGTCCCCTCCCCAGGGCGCTGCAGGAGAGCATGCTGCTGCAGGCCGGGCCCAGCGCCGAGCCCCCGGCCCCCGGGAGCCCCCCCGGGGCGGGCGGCGGGAGCCCCCCGGGCCCCCCCGGGTACGGCAGCTTCGCGGAGCAGCTGCGCCTGGCCATGGCGCTGTCGGAGCGGGAGCAGGAGGAGCGGGAGCGGCGGCGGCGGGAGGAGGACGAGGAGCTCCAGCGCATCCTGCGCCTCTCCCTCACCGAGAAGTAGCGCCCCGGGGCGCTCCACGCCGGCACGGGGACATCCCACGCAGGGACAGGGGTGTCCCATGTGGGGTCACCCCACGCACGGACGCAGATGTCCCGCGTGGGGACACCCCTTGCAGGGATAGGGACACCCCAGGCAGGGGACACCCTGGTGTGGGTGCTGTCCCCCACCGGGATGCCCCAGCGCGGGCACAGCCCTGCCTGGGGAGCAGCCGGTGCCGGGATGGCCCCCCCGTGGTGGGGACCCCCCTGATGTGGGTACAGCCCCCCACAGGGGATTTGATCCAGGGATCCTCCTAGCCCCGGGACCCCCCAATTCAGGGCTCTTCTCCCACCAGGCTCAAACCTCAGCCCAGGGACCCTCACCTGGGGACCGCCCCTCCAGGGATAGCCCTGTGCCCAGGACCCCTCCCTAGGGATCCCCCTCCTCTTTGGTGTTGTGACCCCATGGGGGGCAGGACGGACCCGGGGGTCCCCGTGGGATGCAGGTGACCCCCGTTTTAAGGCACTGCAGTGGGGGGGGGGGGGGGGGTGTTTCTGTAGGACACGAAACAGCACGACGCGGACACGCTGCTGCTCTCAAGGTAGAAAAGGGAAGTTTATTTTCTGACTCCAACATCTGTAGGTTTCCAGAGGTGGCAGTGGGTTGGAGGGTGACAGTGCCACCTCTCCAATGATGCTGGACAAACCAACAGTCCATCAAATTTCTCCTCCTCCATAAAAGAACGGAAAATAATAAGTTGTTTACAGAAAGTGTGAGAGAAAGTTTGCTACAAGAACGTAAACATCAGAAGGCTTAGAAAATCTTAGAAAAATCAGGGCGACAGGGGAGACTGCTGGGGGACCCCCAGGCCTCGTCCTTTGGGGCAGTGGGGGGGCAGGGGGGCCCCGAATGTCTGTACATATACATATACATATATTATATATATATATATATATACACGTGTGTCTGTGCCTGGGGCGTGATGGGTGGGGTGTCCCAGGGGTGGAGCCTGGGAAAAGGGATGGATCCTGCAGGTAGGGTGGGGCTCAGGTGATGGGGCTCATCCAGTGAGCGTGTGGGTGGCACTGGTGGGCTGCTCCTCCTCAGCTTGCCCCACATCTGGCCCTGTGCCCCCATTCCTGGCCCAGGGATTGGTTTATTTTGTTTATATTACGTGGGAAAAGACCCCTGCCCATGGGGTCACAAGGGGTTCTTTGGGGGTGAGCTGCCAGGGACACTTGGGGCATTCCCCGGGGTGTCCCCGGTGCGGGGGTCCGTCGGGGGGTCCACACTTTCTGGGGATCCGGGGAACGCATCCCGCGTGCTGGGCGCTGGGAGAGTCCCAAGGGCCAGGAGCCCTCGGATGGTTCCCACTTTGGGAGGCCCTGGGGGTGTCTCAAGCGCTGGAGTGTCAATCCTGCGCTGTCCCCACGATGTGGGGCGCGGGGGGCTCCGGGGCACCGGGGAGCTTCCCATGGCGGGCGGGCGCTCCGGGGGTCCCGGCTGCGGCGTTCCCGCGGCGGGGGGAGCCGTGCCGTGCCGGGACGTGCCCGGGGCCGTGCCCGCTCCCGCTCCCGTTCCCGTTCCCGTCCGGGCGGGGCAGCGGCGGCGCTTCCTGGTGCGGGGGGGCGGCGCGGCGGGGCATGGCGCTGGTGACGGTGCGGCGGGCGGGGGGCTCCGCCGGCGGCCCCGCGGTGAGTGCGGCACCGGGCACGGCGCGTCCCGGCGGGGACGGGCGGGGGGTCCCGGAGCCCCGGCGGGTCCCGGTGCCCTGGGGAAATGGGCCGGCCCGGGGGATCCCGGTGCGGGGAGCACGGGCTGCGCGGGGCTTTCTCGGTGCCCCGGGGGTTCCCGTGCTCCGGAAGGTCCCGGTGCCCCGAGGGTCCCGCGGTGCCGGGGGAGCCAGCGCGGGGGCGGAGGGGGGAAGGTTGCTCCGGTCGCTGCCGGCGCGGGGTCATCCCAGGCGCTTCCGATGGGACTTTGCTGGGAGTTTACTGGGAGCGGAGTTGCCCTCGGCACGCGTTGGAGTTTCCTGTACTCCCGGCTGGGGTTTCCCCATGGCTAAGGGAGGACTATGGAGGAGTGGATGGGAGTGTTTGTCCCAGGCTGCTCCCGCTCGCTTTGCCACCTCTCCCAGTCCCTTGCGGTCCCGGTGTCCCCTAATGTCCCCCCAGTGACCCCTGGGCCTTCCCTGTTCATCCCAGGCCCTCCTTCCAGCGCTTCCACCCAGCCAGGGATGGGGGCACAGGGATGATACACCCCCCCCCCGCCATCCCGAGGGGGATCCCCAGGGATCCATCGCCACAGTGGGACCCCCAAAGGGTCCCTACACCCCCGTGGGGCCCACACTATTGCTGGGGGTGGCTTTAGGGGGTCACCAGACTGTGGTGTCCCCGCTGGTGGGGGGCTGGTGGGACCCCCGAGCCCGGTACATTCCCTGGGGTCACGTTTCCCCCAGGAACTGCCTCCCAATTCGCAGGAGGAAGATGCTCCCAGACGTGGCCAGCTGCAGCGACGGTGAGAGGGGGTTCCAAAACCTCGGCGTGAGGGACACCAGAGTGGGATGGGGACACAGTTCCCCGCTTTGGGGAGTTTGGGGAGCACTCTGGGGGTGCCCTGGGTGCTCAGGACCCTCCTGCCCCCCAGGCAGAGCTTCGTCATGGTCAAGGGGGCTGCGCGGCTCCTGCCTGCCGAGGAGCCCCCCCCGGCCGAGCCCCCCCCGGCCGAGCCCCCCTGCCAGGCCCCGGGGCAGCAGGAGCAGCACCTGCACCTCATGATGCAGCTGCTGCGCCCCCAGGACGCCATTCGGCTGGTAGGACACGGATCCACCCCTGCAGGAGCACGGGGATGGGACGGGGACAGGGAAAGGGATGGGTGGGGTCAGGGGATGGGATATGGATGGGGACAAGACGGGGAGAGGAAATCGACAGGATGGGCTGGGGATGGAGGTGGGATGGAATGAAGGTGGGGACAGTAACATCGAGGAAAGGTATGGGAATGCCATAGGGATCGGGACTGGATAGGGTGGGATGGGGATAGGGATGGAATGGGAGGCGATGAGGAGGACGTATGGCCCAGCCTGATGCTGCTCCCGGTCACCGGGAGCACGGGAAAGGGCAGAGCCCGCTGCGATGCCCACCTTTCCGGCAGGCGGTGCGGCTGGAGTCGGCGCGGCCGCGGCGGGTGCGGTACCTGCTGCTGGTGCGGCCGGAGGAGCCGGGCGCCGAGGCGGAGACGGCGCTGCTGGGAGTGGATTTTGCCCACGAGGGGTGAGCGGGGTGCGGGGGGGCCCCGCGGAGGCCTCGGCACCCCCTGACCTCTGCTCGCCCCAGGGCCACCCGCTGCACCCTGGGCATGGTGCTGCCCCTCTGGAGCGACACCCAGGTGTTCCTCGACGGCGACGGGTAAGGGTGGGATGGAATTTTGGGACAGGGAGGGGCTTAGAGGGGTCAGGGTGCCCACCCCAACCCACGCGTGTCCCCGTGTTGCCCAGGGGGTTCAGCGTGACATCGGGGGGACAGACGCGCATCTTCAAGCCCATCTCTGTGCAGACCATGTGGTGAGCGAGGCCTGGGCGTGACCGCGGCGGGCGTGGGGACCCCCTGGGCACGGGGCTGTGGGTGGCATGGTGGGCACAAGCGGGGTGGGCACCACCTCGGGGACTGGGGACACGGGCGCTGCCAGGGGCACAGGGGATCTCAGCTGCACAACAGGCACGGGGGAGGTGGCACAGCTGGGGACACAAGGGCTGCTGTCACCATCCTGGGCACAGGGGATTTGGGTATCACCATGGGCACCGCCACGGGGAAGGATCTGGGCAGGGTCTGGGTGGCACGCACACGCTGGGGGCAGCCAGAGCGGGGGACACGGCTGTCGGGGGACGGCGGCAGTGCAGGGGTGGCCGGCGCTGTGCGGCAGGGCCGTGCTGCAGGAGCTGCACCGCGCCTGCGAGGACGCGGCCCGCGGCGGGCACATCCCCGGCAGCCCCGCGCTGGCCTGGGCCCGCGGCTACGCGGCGGCGCTGGGCTCCAAGCAGAGCTGCCTCAACGAGTGGCTGGCCATGGCCGACCTCGAAAGCGTGCGGCCCGCCTCGCCCAGCGCGACCCCGCGGTAAGGCCCCTGCCACGCCCCTGCCACACCCCGCAGCCCGCTGGCCAATTGCTGCCCGGGCGTGGCCGGGCGTGGCCGGGTGGTGACGAGGCGGTGCCGGTGCCAGGCCGGCCGCACCAGAGCTGTCGGAGCAGGCGGTGCGGGCGCTGCTGCGGGAGGTGATGGCTGCCGCCGACCTGGAGAACGTCACGTCCAAGGAGGTGCGTGGCACCGGGGTGGCCTGGGGACAGGAGGGGCTGGGCAGGGCCGTCCCTCACCCGGCGTGGCGCCCAGGTGCGCGAGGAGCTGGAGCGGCGCACGGGGCACAGCCTGGGCGAGCACAAGGATTTCATCGACAACGAGATGCTGCTGGTGCTGGCGCAGATGGATCGGCCTTCCCGCGTCTTCCCGCACCTCTTCCTGGTGGGCAGCAGCGCGGGCACGCCGGGCAGGGCGGGTGGCAGCGTCCCCTCCCCTCACCGCTGTCACCACACAGGGCTCCGAGTGGAACGCGGCCAACCTGGAGGAGCTGCAGCAGAATAGGTGAGCAGGGGGGGACACCGCGGTGGGGTCACCACGGGCCGCCCCTGGGGTGCCACTCGTGTCACCGCAGGGTCACCCACATCCTCAACGTGGCGCGGGAGATCGACAACTTCTTCCCGGCGCTGTTCACGTACATGAACGTGCGGGTGTACGACGAGGAGGCGGCCGAGCTCCTGCCCCACTGGAACGACACCTTCCTCTTCCTCTCCCGCGTCCGGTCAGTGACACCACGGGGGACACCGGGGCACAGGGGCTGGAGGTGGGGCAGGGGAGAGGGGGACATGGGGACAGATCTTGATGGCTGAGGTGCTGGGGCATGGGATCCTGGGGAGCAGTGGGGTGGCTGGGGACATGGGGAGCTCTGTGGACGCCGGGAGCCCTGGGGACACGGTGTCCCCGAGGGCCCCCCGTGCCAGCAGTGGGTGCCGCAGGGCGGCGGGCGGCCGGGCGCTGGTGCACTGCCGGATGGGGCTGAGCCGCTCGGCTGCCACGGTGCTGGCCTACGCCATGAAGGAGTTCGGGTGGCCCCTGGAGCGGGCGCTGCGGCACGTCCGGCACTGCCGGCCCGGCGTCCTGCCCAACCCCGGCTTCATGCGCCAGCTCGACTTCTACGAGGGCATCCTGAGCGCCAGGTGAGTGGGGACAGGGTGGGGACAGGGTGGGGACAGGTGGGTGGGGCTGGCACGACCACACCCCTGTGGGGTAAGGAGGTGGGGCCTGTTGTGACCACACCCCTTTGGGTGGGTGGGGCTCCCGACGGGGGGCGTGGCCGTGTGCTGATTGACAGGTCTGTGGCAGCCGGCACAGCGTCCTGTGGGAGCCCCGGGCGGCCGAGCAGGCGCCGCAGCCCGAGGAGGACACCGCGAGGGACACAAGTGGCCTGTCCCCGCTGTCCTCCCCGCTGGCGTCCCCGCAGCCCTCCGAGGAGGAGGCAGCCGGCGGGGGGCTGCTGGGGGCCTCCCGGCGCCCTCGCATCTCGCTGTGCTCTGTCATGCGGAGCATCAGCCTGCTGGAGACCCCCGAGCCCCTCGAGGTGCTGGGGGAGCCCCTGGCCGGGGAGGTGAGCAGGGGTCAGGGCGGGACGGGGGTCCAGCTGTGGGGTGACAGCGGCGTGCGGTGACCCCGCTGTCCCCCCTCAGGTGTTCGAGGCCACGGAGAAAGCAGAGGGTCCCTCCCCGAGGTCACGACCCTCGTCCCGCCCGCGCGGGGTGGTGCGCCAGGCCAGCCTGGATGGCGGCCCCGCCCCTTTTTGTGACCACACCCTTAGTGATTGCCACACCCAGGGCCACACCCATGGACCTGGCCAGGGCCACGCGGATGAACCCACGCCTTAATTTGGGGGGCAGGGGACAGCACCTCCTCACTGCCATAGCAACGGGGGAGGGGCGTGGTCTTCGCCTGGGGGCGTGGCCAGCGAGCCGGCACGCCCCGCCCACGCCCCGCCCGCACCCCGGGGCTGGGACGGGCCTCTGCCCCAGCCCCACACAAACACCGGCACCGCTCCTGCACTGGCAATAAAGCGTGGAAATGGCAGCCCCTGGTGCTTTTGTGACCCTGAGCGTCTGGAGGGTGGGCTGCTGTCAGTAGGGACCGGAGTGAACGCTTTGGGGACACCGGGCGGGCACGGGGACCCAGCGGCGCCATTTTGTGCGGCACGGGGAAACTGCAACTCCCGGCGGCCTTTGCGCGAGAAGCACAACTTCCGGGTTGCCATGGCAACCGTCGCGGCCTAGGCCTGGGCTGGAATCAGGGCTGGGATTGGTGCTGGAAACGGGACCGGGGCAGTCCCGAGGCCCAGCAGCGGAGGACTGAAGCACACAGAGAGCCTCTGTGGCCATGGTGGAGGGGAAAGCCAGGTGCTCCCCCCTGCCACCCCGTGAGGTGGTGTCAACCCCCTCCCACCATGGTGTCCCTTCGTGTTGTGTCACCCCTGACCCACAGGACACCTTCCACTAGCCCAGGCTGCTCCAGCCCCATCCAACCTGGCCTCGGACACTTCCGAGGCTGGGGCAGCCACAGCTTCTCTGGGCACCCTGTGCCAGGGCCTCACCACCCTCACAGGGAGGAATTTCTTCCCCAAGTCCCACCTAAACCCACCCCCCAGGGAAGGAGGTCCCTGGCTGGGACTGCCCCTGAGGCTGCTGATGTCCATCTCCATCTCCCAGGGCTGTTCCGGCGGCTGGAGCCATCCCAGACACTTCCCCTTTCCTGGGACACCCACCAAGCTGGGACTGACCCTCTGCCAAGGAAGGAGCATGGGAATCTCCCTCCTTCTTCCCACCAGGAGGGCACAGCCTGGATTGGCTGGGTGTAGGATGGATTTTTTGGGGGTCCACCTGAACACCTCCATGCTGCGCCCAGCAGAGGAATTATGTCCCCGTAGAAGATATCCAAGGGACTGCAGCTCCAACAGCAGGACCAGATCCAGCTGGATAATGCAATCCAGAGGGTCAGGAGCCTGCAGTGCAAGTGGCATGGGAGTTGTGGGTGGCCTCCCACCCGTCCCACCCCATCCCACCTTATCCCAGGTTACTGCTGGCTCCAGTGCTCCATTGCAGCCAAAACTCTGCCTCTGCACTAATTCATAAGTAGTAACCAGTACTCTGTGAGGATGGCTAGAAACATTTTTAAAGACTAATTAGCAGCATAAAAAAGAAATTTAGACTGCTAAAAATCAAAAAGACATCACTGCCAAGATAAAAAAAACTATCTGTAAATGTCCACCATATAAATACCCATATCCCCAGAATTAAAGCTAATAAAAAGCACCAAAACAATCAACAAAAAAGAACTAAATATATTCTAGTGGGTGCAGTAGCATTTAATCAACACTAGACCCACCACAGATAGAAACAATTTCTTTTATTGATGAAACAACAAAAAGAGCTGGTGAATTAAGTCATCGATAACCTGAATAATTAACAGACACATCCTGTTATTTATGATTCTGCACACAGCAAAGCTGCTAATTGGGGCTACTAAACATATGCATCCCACAGGACACTGTCCCTCTGCCCACCCCACTGCAGGACATCCCCACCATCCACAGCCAGCTGCTCACACCCCTGAGCTCACTTTTCTTCATTTTTTCACCCCATTCCTGGGGAAAAAATGTCCCACCTCCCTTTCTCCACCCAAGAGCACATTGTTCTGCCTGGGTCCCAGCTGGGTGGCATTAAACTGCGTGACGGACACCCCACCTGGCTTTTTTGGGGGGGATGCAACTCCCTGCCCTCCCCCTGCACCCCAAGGGCTTCACCCCACCCCGTGCCCCCCAGGCAGCACACGGCACCCCTTCCTTCGCTCGCAGCAGCTTTAATCCTCCCGCTGTCCCTGGAACAGGGGCTGGGGGCGCCGGGAATGGCTCCCCCCATCCCTCGGCGCGGCGGCTCACAGCTCGTACTCGTGCCACAGGCTGCGGGGCACAACAGGGTCAGCGGGAAGGGCAGGGACACCGGGAGAGCATGCCCTGTGCCCCCCATCCCATCCCATCCCAGCCCATCCCATATCCCATATCCCATATCCCATATCCCACATCCCATATCCCACATCCCATATCCCATATCCCATATCCCACATCCCATATCCCACATCCCATATCCCATATCCCACATCCCACATCCCACATCCCACATCCCACATCCCATATCCCATATCCCACATCCCACATCCCACATCCCATATCCTACATCCCACATCCCATATCCCACATCCCATATCCCAGCCCATCCCACACCCACCTGTAGGTGACGTCGGGGTTGTCCCGGTGCTCCAGGAGGGCCTCACGGATGGGGCCGGGGGGGCTCAGCCCCAGCTCCTGTGCCCGCTCCCAGCGCTGCAGGCGGGTGATCCCTGCGGGATACCGGGGGCTCAGCGGGAGCCCGGCGCCACCGGGACAACCGGGACAGCCGGGACAACCGGGGCTGCTCACCGGTGCAGGGTCCGTATTCCCAGGAGAGGTCGAAGCGCCGCAACATCTCCATGAGCGCCGGGTCCGCGGGGGGCTGCGAGGGGGCGCGGGGACAGTCCCGCACCTTCAGCTGCACCTTGTCCTTGTTGTCCTTGTCCTTGTTGTCCTTGTCCTTGTTCCTCCTGCCCTTCAGCCTGCCCGGGGGCCGCCCCGGGCCCCGCCGCCGCCGCCGCGGGAAGGAGTCGGTGATGCGCCGGGGCTGCTCCATGGCCCTGCGCGACATGGAGCTGGCACGGCCCCG